CATTTAATGGCATTTAAAATGGGCAAGGATATACCTCTGGTAAAAATCTGTTTAAAACTCTTTGAGTAATCCTGCTAACCAACCAATCGACCAACTAACAAACTAACCAACGTTACCAAAAACATAACCTCCTTTGCGGAGGTAATGATAATAATATGCTATTAGCAATTACAAAATTAATGGTGACAGTAATAATGACTATAATGATGATAATAATGGTATTAAAAAATCTATGATACTAATAGCATTAATGTTAATAATAGTGATTTTGATAAAATGGTAATGGTGATAATAAGAACAATTAATTACCTAAGCATCCATCATATTCTTTTCTACCTGCATTATCTATTGCTTTCTAGAACGAAGTGCACAAAGATAAGATATTTCTCGTGTGTTTTTCCTGGCAATCGTGGGCAAGCTGACTGATTAGGTTTTTATGCAATAACAATAATGGAACACACGCCGTCTATTTTTCATTCTATTCAATCATCCACCTGTTTTTTTTTTTTTTTTTTTTTTTTTCGTTTACCTGTCTATTTATTTTTGCCCTTGATTTTCTTTATCCCCATTTTCTTTCTGCCTTTGGAGTTTGTCCGTATTTTTCTCTTTCTTATATAAAATCTATTTTATGAAACAGATAAGAAGAGGGTGTAAATAGGTTATTTTTCTTCCTTTGAATTTCTTATTCGGATACCTTATTCATGAAAACCATTTATTAATCTGATGGAAATAAATTATATTTTGACTTTGCATTTCCTATATATTAAACATTCGATATTGGGGTGTATTATTAACCAGGATCGTGGAACGTCCTGTATATAGCATATTTGGGACGGAGGTTTGCTGAACTATCGTGTTCCAAGAAAATTTGGGTGTAAAGGAACGTTCATGAAGTTCGGCCTCGAAGAAGGTAGCTGCACCTTTCGTCGCCGCCGCCAGGAGGCGTGTGGCGGTCACGGCCGCTCCTCCTCAAGGCGCAGAAAACTCAGATGGCGACGTGTTTGTAGAGTGCTAGGAGAACTGTAGCTCCGCCGATGCTGACGAAGCTGGGTGTATTTGTCCATTTAAACATAAATATTCATACATTATATATATTATATATATATATATATATATATATATATATATATATATATATATATATATATATATATATATATATATATAATACACACACACACACACACACACACAACACACACACACACACACACACACACACACACACACACACACACACACACACACACACACACACACACACACACACACACACACACACACACACGCACACGCACACACATACGCACACACACACACACGCACACACACACACACACACACAAACACACACACACACACACACACATACACACACACACACACAACATATATATATATATATATATATATATATATATATATATATATATATATATATGTATGTATGTATGTATGTATGTAAAAGCAGTGGCTGCGCCGCACCTGGCTACGCCAGGTTACTTAACCTGCGGTGCTTGCTGGCTTCGCGCCCTCAGGGCTTCGCCCTTATGTAACACAAATCATTAAAAGTGAAATAAACGAGGCATGTTAGACAAATCGGTTTGACAAATTTATTTATCTTAGATTTATGTTGTTTCTTAGACGGTTCGCTTTCATTAGATTCTTCTCGATCATAGTCCTTTTCTGCGTCGAATCGGCGTTTAGGTCGACCACCTTCATCGGTGTCTTCATCACTCATCCTTTTAATTATGGTGAAAATCTTCTCGTTTCTCGTTCTTCTTATCGAGTTTCCAAAATGTCAATAACACTCCAATAACACTTCAGTGTTGGTTGACACGAAGTCAATGTCGTAGTCCGGTAAAATCATCTTAATTGCCTCTTATTCTGTTAGTTTAGTATCTGTAGATACGAGGGTGACTTGATATGATCACTTGTTTGTTGTCACATACGCTTCCTGAGATATTCCCAACAGTAAAAGTTCTTCTTTAGATTCGTAACGATTAATTTAGTGCCGTTACAGTTCTTAGGAGGACACGTTACGAATGACCATTATTATGCACCAAACCTTCAGTTTAAGCTCGTAAAGTGGTAAATTAGGGCTTTTCACCATTGCAGATCTTTTCCTCATCTGGTAGATCTCCGCTTCTATAAATCACTTTTTTATCCTAAATTTGGTCATAAATGATGCCGTTCACTTCATCTACATTAACATTAGTTGGTGGTATGTGTCATCAGTAGTATTATTACTATTATATAATTTTTCTCATTCATTATTATCATTATTATTACTGCTATTATTTACCATTATTATCATCATTATTATTGCTGTCGTTGTTGTAGTTATTATCAATTTTATCATTGCTGTTATTGTTACTTTCATTATCATCATTTTTGTTTTTATTATGATTATTATCATTATTGTTATTGCTATTTTTGTCATTATTAGCTCGACCATTATCAGTTTTAAAAGATGATCTTAATTTTTATCATCATCAGTGTTTTCAATATAATTCTCCTTATTATTATTGGTATTATTATCATTATTTTTATCATTATCATCATTATTACTGTTATTATATTTTTCTATAATGTTATTACTATTATCATTATTATTGTTATTGCTGTTTCTGTTATCTTAGTTATTATTAGCATCTTAACAGTATCATTTTTTTTTTTTTTATCATTACTGTCATTATCGTTACTGTTGTCATTACGATTATTACTATGATTAGTAATAACACTAGTAGTAGTAGTATTCTCACTATTATCATTAGCATTATTACTATTATTGTTGTCATCCTTATCATTATTGTTATTCCCATTATTATTACTATTCATGCTACCCATATATATATACATACCCATCCATACATACTGTGCGTACATATACACATACTTACACATGTTTAAACACCTGCAGGTCCTTATGTATATGCGCAGTATATATATATTTACGTTTATACACATGCACATTCCTATGCAGATATAAAGAGAGCGAGGGAGAGAGAGAGTATAGCATACTGCATAACATAAAGTATCAATGCTAGCTCACAGACAACGCTCGTGAAAGCATAGGTCGCACGTTTGCCCGCCATGCTGCTCCCTCGTGGGGCGAGCCACGTTCCGCGAGGACAGCCACCGCCCGGGTCAGGGATATATAAACTGACTCAACTCGACCTTATGAGAACTAGAAATGGTTGACACAGGCCGGGCCACTCTAGAGAAAAGGCCCGGGCGAAGCTAGTCTTCGCAAATCTAACTGAACTGACCTTATTCTAGCCTCCAGGCTAGTACAGCGGTAACGTGTCGGCCTCTCATCCGAGGGGTCGGCGGTTCGCGCCCCGGGCGCCCAGGCGCGAAAAGTTGCAATTGTCGACGGAGGTTACCGCTGTGGCTGGGCACCACGGTGGGTAAGGACTTGCTGACACACGATTGAGTAGACATTAGCCGGCACAGACCGGGCTCCTCTCATAGCACGTTGAGGCTCAGCTTCGCATATCGGACTTACCTTATTCTCACACTCTTTGCAGACCATGTGCTCCCTCACCAGGGCGGGCTGGTCCCTTTTTCACTGACTTCCCACCAAAGCTAACCTGCTGACCAGACCACTCACCCTCCGCAAGGCGGCTGCCCTCTCCAGGGCCAGGTCGCGGGGTTCCACCCAACACTGACCAATCGTATCCTGTTCATTCCTACTCGTGTGTTAACTCTTAAGAATAAAGAGTGCAGCCACACAAGTGTATCACTACTGCCCACCAGTATCCTGAAGGTTTAAAAATCTTCCAGAGACAGAGATTCTTGTCCTCCGATTTGCAAACATTTGGTCTTATTTCTGATAATATTGATGATCCTTTGCGTCAGAGTATAAACTGCGACCTAAGGCTTGCAGAATAATCTTTCAACGTTAAATCTTAAATATTCCACCAAGACCGCATTTCAGTAACACGATGTACAAGAGAGGTTTAAGATATTTAGACGTTAAAAAAATCAAATGGCGTTCAGCTAACATTCAAAACAAGGTGATTTTCAAAATGATGTATTAACATTTGAAGGAGAACGTTTAGATGTGATCTCTAAAGAGTCACCTTGCGGAACATTTAACCTTTAAAATTGAGATCAGTGATGACTTCACTTATAAGCTTGAATATCAGAGAGAGCGCCCGTTGTTGTCATCATCCTTATTAATGTAATTATTGTTAATATCATTATTATGATAATCATTACTATGACACACACAAATAAACACATATACAAACAAACACATACATGCGCTTGCACGGCCGTATATACATCCACATCGTATATATATTCATATATATATGTGTGTGTGTGTGTGTGTGTGTGTGTGTGTGTGTGTGTGTGTGTGTGTGTGTGTGTGTGTATATATATATATATATATATATATATATATATATATATATATATATATATATATATATATATATATATGTGATTTTTATTATCCATATCAATAGAATAATTAAAAACATTTAGTCCTGGAGCCAAGGGGTATTTTGGGGGTCGAGAGCGCCCGTAAATCACTTACGAAAATGGGTTAAAAAATGGTGAAATTTAACACCAGTCTCAAATATAGGGCATTTAGTCTTGGACATCATACCTGAAATGGAAAATCTTTATGTATTCTTAAGTATTTTGTGTATTAATCCACGGCAGATACGAAGACAGTTTCTAAAACTAGTATGAACCTGTACTGATATACATTAACCCTTTCAGG